CTCCTGGGACTGCCCTTTTGATTTTTCCCACCCAGGTTCTTCTCCTCCATGAAAGTACCTACTTGTTGAGTGGTCTTCTAAAGCCATCCATCCGTGTTGGTGGCCACCACGATGTTCTCCTGGTAGCAACTTCCATGGTTTACGGGCATATAGCTCTGTCCTCAATCTCCGCCCATTCAGTTTCATGGGATGATCTTGAGCTCTCGTATTGCTGCAGCATGTTGACTTTAAGCAAGTGAATTTAAGCAAGAAGGAGGTCAAGCGGCAACAGAAAGTCCCTGCTCAGTTTCATGGCTCCTTTCAAGAGCGGCAAATGGACAGGGAAGCAACATTCACAGGAGTGGGGGGTCTTTTTGTAGTCATTGTCCTCAGCCCCCTCTCCATGCCATCCTGGAGATTGATGGTAGCCCCCCACAAGGAAGTAACCCACGAAAGCCAAGCTCAGGGAACCAGGTTCCATTTGGATGCCAGGAAGCACTTCCTGACAGGATCCCAAGGGTGTGGAATGGGCTTCCCCGGGAGGTGGCTGAGGCCCCATCAGTGCGGGTGTTCAAGGACAGGCTGGACGTGCACATGGTGGGCATGTCGTGAGCGGAGTCGACTGGAGCCGGGGGTCAGACTAGATGGCCCGGGAGGTCCCTTCTGACTCGCTCTGCTTCTGTGTTTCTATAAATAGGAGTTACAAAAGTGACTCACAAAAACAGGGAAATACTCTGCATTACAAATGGCAAACTTCTGACCACCACGATGGAACAGTAGAAAAACAAGATTTAACAATAGAGATTCTGTTTGGCTCTCTTATTTTCCCTGCATCAAGTTCCTTTGTACTTGTGATCAGCAAATTCTTTTGTCAAAGTCAGCGTGAAAACTCATGCCTGTTTCTAGAAATGTTTGCCTAAGTGGACACATTTGTTTATTTCACATGGGGGTGCCACGCAGAGGAGGACCATGACCTTCCTCCCCCCCCCCCCCCACAGTGGAGGGCAGGGCGTGTTCCAGTGGAGCAAAGCTCAGGGAACCAAGGTTCAATTGAGATGCCAGGAAGCACTTCCTAATGGTTAGGACCCCAAGGGTGTGGAAGGGGCTTCCACGGGAGGTGGTTGAGGCCCCATCGGTGCGGGTGTTCAAAGACAGGCTGGGCATGCACATGGTGGGCATGTTGTGAGTGGAGCCAGCTGGAGCTGGGGGTCAGACTAGATGGCCCGGGAGACCCCTTCTGACACACTCTGTTTCTATGTTTCCTAAGGCACAGTTGCATTTTTAGCTGCCAAATTCAGTGGCAGAGGAAGGCACTCAGTCTAACAGGGATGGGAGGGAATCCAAGGCATGGAAGCTGTCCTAAATTCCTTACCCCTACTTTATACCTACCTTTTTATTTTCCCAATATTTTAATGTTTGACTGTTATTTAATATGGGTTTTATTGCCAGAATTTGCTTAGGATGCAATGTTTTATTTTGAGTTTTATTGTATTTTTGTCTTACCATTAAACCACCCTGAGACTTTGGTAAGGAATGGTCTAAAAACGTTTTAAATAAATACAATTTTCAGGCTTCCCTGTGTGCTGTTTGACAGGCTGCATGACACTGGGAAAGCGTGGCACTGGGAACTGAGGGAGTATGATTAATTGGTATTTTTAAGTAGAGGGTGACTGGCCATGTTTCAGGGAGTTGGCAATCCTTCTGCATCGCAGTGGGGTGGACTAAATGACCCTCAGAGGTCCTTCCAGCTCTATGAGTCCATAATCCATTTCTGCAGTCGCCAAATGAAATAGGGGCTTGGATAGACCCTTGCTTTTCTCCTCTGCTCACGCCAGCAACGTGTTCTGGTGGGCTGCCGGCTGGGCATGTGGCTCCTTCCAGCTGTACAATGGTAGGATTTCCCGACCCCACAATTGCAAGAAGACCTCTTTGGCTTTCTTCATGCACGAGCTGCTCGCCTCTCCCAGCAGGGGGAAAGGGTTGAACACCAGCCGGAGAAGTTCAAGCCTGCACTTTGGCCGGAGGGCTTTTGCCTTGGATTGGGCATGGGGCAGGCAAAGATGGATCATCCAGGGTTCCGTGTGACCCACACCATCTTGTCCCGCAAGCCCCCAGGACAGGGCTTGAAAGAGGAGGGAACGAACATGCCAAGCTTCCGTGGGCAAGAGGGCAAAACTCTGTGGGCTGGATAACAGATGCACCAATGTGAGAGAGGGGGCATCTCAGGGACCCCCCCAAAACAGATACGCGCCATTTTCAGCATCACCTGCAAACAAACAAAGCTGCATCCCAAAAGCTAATGCAAGAGGAAAAGGACAAAATCTTGTCTTACGTAGAGGCCTTTGTTTTCAACACGCTACACTTCTGCTGAATTTTATTATGATATGGAGGGTGTGTGGAAAGGCCTCATTAAGGCCCGGAGAGGTATTATAGGTCTGTCGCTCCAGGATTCTTGAGGCGAAGAAACACAAAGTCTTGAAAACTCCCTGAAGGGAGTTTTAAAGAAACCCCAAGAGGAGAGGTGCTTTTGATAAAGTGTGTGCACAGGGAGGGGAGAGAAGCAAAATTAGTCTCTTTCTCTAAGAGGCCATTGTCAAGAGGAGAAAGAACGTGGGGGAAAGACCAGTGCATGGCATTCATTGTCAAGACCCAAATGAGCTTATCTCTTTGTTCAAGACAGATATTGGTCTTTCTTCCTTCCCTTGTATCTGGTGGGAAATCTGGGAATGGAGTCATCTCAAGACCACTCGTCGCTATTCAAGAGGACTTAGAGGAACGCACACTACCAACAACGAGGCCGTACAAGGTGGTTGCAGGCCGGGCGCATTCACAACGATTGTCCCTTAACAAGAAAAGAAAGATCCGTTCTTCAAAGCGAGAGGGAAAGCAAGGCAGGGGGTTTGGCTACCTGTGTCACAGGCCTGTGGGTTTCGCCAGAATTCTGCTTTTTAGGGATGGTTTTGAGGGAACGCCAACAGAAGTGCAGGGACTCTGGGCAAGCTTAGAGCAAGAACCCAGATGCAGGATTGTACCAATGGTCCCTTTTTGCTTAGTGGCCCATCTCACACAGTGGCTAGCCTGATGCCAAAGCTCACCTGCAGGGCAAAACAGCAATGGTTATGCCAGATGCTGACAGATACACTGCCCTTGTGCCTGGATGCTCAATTGAGCCACCATATCTAACGGCCATGGAGAGACCCACACAAGCCTGGGTGTGCCCTGGTGCTTTTTCTTCCCAGCAGTCTGTTCCAGTAGCAACCTTACACCTATGAACAAGTTGTGGCAGGCCTTAATATGTACGAGTGTGTCCAGAAAGTAACGAGAATGATATTTTAAAAAATCTTGCATAGAACAGATTTACAACTGAACATCGTCTCCTTCAAATATGCACCTTGCAAGTGTCCAGCAATTTCCCCCATCTTCAGAGCATCCCTGGAAGTCTTCCAGTGGGGTGGCGTTCAAAGCCTGCGCAGTGGCTCTTTGGACGTTATCCACACAACCAAAATGGTGTCCTTTCAAACCGTTCTCCATCTTTGGGAGTACGAAAAAGTCACCAGGAGCCCAGTCGGGGCTGTAGGACGGGTGGGGAAGCCCCGTGATGGATGGTGATGGTTTCTGGACACTCCTCAAATTCAGCTCTCTTGATAATTTTATTATTTTATACTGTATTGTTATATTTTTAATTTATATTATAATTATTTTAACTTAGTGATGTAAGCCGCCCCGAGGCTTCGGCGAATGGGGCAGCATAAAAATGTTTTAATAAATAATAAATAAAATAATGACTTCTTGAAAAAGGAATCCCTTTTCCCACACACCAGCTAGGGTTAATGGATTAGTATACCTTTTTTAAGTTAGACCTACTCTGGGGTGGCCGTGTGTCCTACCCAACAAAGCACAGTCCTCTGCTTCATGGCCTGCCCAGTCTAAATGAAAAATAAACGATAAGATGGGAGAAGGGGGATCTTGAAGCGGTCCATCAACAGATCGGGTGCGGTGCTGCCCACTGCGGTGGCAAGCCATGCGTTCATTCCATTTCTCCTCCTCTCTTTATTGCAAAAGCGTCCTCTGGTTTGCGCAACTGCCGGGCTACCTTTTGATCCAAGCGGTGCAGGGCTCCCCAGGGGACGAGGCCCCTTGGGCCACCGGTCCAGGGCAGACCAGCCCTTAGCCACCCCCCGCTTGCCCTTTTAACTTGCCCCTTCCTTTCTTTGCTTCGCTTGCCTGTCCGGCCTTTAGGAAGAGCAAGGTCACCATGTCCCACAGCCCCTGCTCTGCTGGGAAGAGAAGCGGACAGCACTCTCATGCGTCCTTCTTGCTTTCGCACTGCCAGGGCGTGGGGTCTTGCGCCTTTGGAGCCAAAAGAACTGCCCTTTTATATACCTTGATTTAAAGGGGGGAATCACACTTGCAGCCGCACCGGAGACAGCAAATGAGAGGCGCCTTCCGGTGGGATCTCACTTACAGCAACCCCACAATGACCGTCCCCCAAACTGTCTTGGGCCGGCCTTGGAAGCAGCATTTTTCAGTTTGCTCATTGCCAGCAGAGGTTCTCCTGGGATGGCGCTGAGAAATACAGCCCCGCAGCCCTTGGAGTGCTGCCCCCCCCTTGGGGGGGTCTTTCTTGTGCTTCCTGACCCAGCGCTTCTCCTCTCCCTCTGCTCCGCATCCTTTTGTCCCCGATGGATGCGAGCGGCCCAGGACCGTGACTCTGGAATGCAATTGATCCTGGACAAGCTTCGCATCCCCACCCGTTGGTGCCGGGGGGGGGGGGGTATTCGCCCGGGCATTGGCAGTCAGTGCAGCAGGCCGTAAAGGGAAGCCTCCTTCATTATCCCTCCGTTGCCCGGATTGGCTGCAGGACTGTGGGAAACACCGAGAAATCCAAAACCCACGTAACTGTGGAGCCGATGCTGATATAAATAGAGGGTCCTGGCGGCCTTGCGGCATAAGGGCTGCCGGCGAGGCAGAGGCAGACCGGCTGGCGCACGGATCGGGGCACCCGGCTGCCAGGCTCACGGATGGCTCCGAGCAACAGCTGCGTGGCCCACGTGGAGGAGGAGCGGCTCCTGGTGAAGGAGAAGAACAAGGTGCGTCAGAGTGGGCCGGTGATCGGTGCGGAGGGACCGAGAGATGGCTGCGCGTGTGTGAACAGGTCTAAAAGGGTGTCTCGTATTTGGGGGATGGCCAGAAAGACTTGCTACCATCAAACTTGACTCCCGATGGGAGGGGTGGACAACCTGCTCGGTCGGACCTCCAACCCCATAATCCCCAACTAGTGGCCATGCTGGCTGGGGCTTATGGGAGCCGCAGTCCTGGATGTCGGAAGGGATCCCTATGCTATCAGGGATGGGGCATGTGTCGTGTTGGGCGTAACACAGACAGATGGGAAATTGGCTATTTTTCTGTGAGAAGCTGAGCCGGCGGGTGGACTCGGGGTGACCACAACTCTGCATTGCCCAGAGGCTGTCGGGACTCCGTAACGCTTGAGGGTCTCCGTCTTTTCCCTTCCCAGTTGAGGAAGCCGATGGTGGAGAAGATGCGCCGCGACCGCATCAACAGCAGCATCGAGCAGCTCAAGGTCCTGTTGGAGAGGGAATTCCAGAGGCACCAGCCCAACTCCAAGCTGGAGAAAGCCGACATCTTAGAGGTGGCCGTCAGTTACCTGAAGCAGCAGCGCCAAATTCAGGGCCAAGGTGAGGGGAGGGTCTCTCAATTGCATCCCAATGTCTCTGATTTAAGCACTGGTTGGTACGCAAGACAGAAACGGGGGGTCCCTGCAGGACCAAAGAGGCAGGGTGCTGCTGAATTGAGGTTTCCACCCTGAATTCAGCTTCCCATGAATAGGGCTAAATCACCTCTAATCTTTATAGGAGTCACCTTTAGAAATGCCTCCTTAGGAGCAGAAAACTTTTGCAGGCATGTGTCTCCTGGAAATACCTTCTTTAGGGAGGCAGGATCACTCGACTTGCAGCAAAATCAGGTTCTCCGTGTCATAACACAACGTGCTCAGTGTGTTGCATTTCGAGAACCCAGGTTCATGTCAATGGATAAAACTCAGCAGTTGACTTATGCCATATTCCTCTCTCAGTCTAGCCTACCTTGCAGGGTTGTTGTCCTAAGAACATAATAAGAGTTCAGACCAGAGTCCCACCAATGTTCTGTTCCCCCAGTGCCAACCATGGGAAGCTCCCAGGCGAGACACAGTCTCCAGAAAAACGTCTACTTCCCTTTTAAAACTCTCTAGAGGAAGGGCATTCCCCGACTTTTAAGCTGCCGCCGTTGGGTTGGGGAAAGGGCAGGATTTAGACCATTCATTAAATGAGCTCCACCTAATCAAGGAAAGTTCCCCTTCTCCTCCTGCCTCACATTGACACTGTGTATGGTTTTTTTTTACTTGCTTTGCTTTGCAGCATTCAACTCTAAGAATCCGGAACTCGATTTTAACACCGGCTACCTGCATTGCTTGAGAGAAGTGATCTTTTTCTTCTCCTTCTGCGATCCCAAGCGAGAAACCCAAACGCGGCTGATCAAGCACTTCTGCAAGGTCCACGTGATAGCAGATTCCATGCGCCCAGCTGTCGCAATGGGCTGCCTGCCACCCTCTTCTCGCCCGGTGTCCAAGAAGCCTTCTACCCACAAGAGCTTGCCGGCTAACAGTGCCTCCATTTGGAGACCGTGGTAGAAGTTCTGATGGACATCCTGGACAAAAACCAGAGAGCTTAAGGACAAACTCACTCACTAGCCCAGAGGGATCGGTGATTTTAGCATCCCTCTTGAAAAAGTAGGAAACTTTATTTCCGAGGAGAAGAGTGGGGTTCTTTTTCTGTAGGAAGAAATATTTCAGTTTTGTAAAAAATCAGTTTCCTTCATAGTGAAGGGGTGTTCATGCATCGTGCCCTGGATGCGTTGCTTTTATTAGGGTTGTAACAGAGAAGCGCTGTCTTTTTTACCTTTGCGGGGCAAAATGAAAACAAAACAAACCCCGGTTAGGTTTCCTGGAAGGATGCCTTCCTGACGTCAGAGGCATTTTGCCAAGAATTGCCACAGCATCTGATGGCGGAATGACAGATTTTGGCTCTGTTTGTGTTGGCCTTCGGGGAGAAGGGGGATTTGTAGATGGGAAGGGGGGGTATCATTTGTATCAATGTATTGAGAAAGTTATTTTGATAACGAAAGGGACTTTTCCTTAGATTTGCTCTCTCTGTGTGTGCTTCTCTCATTCTGAGAGGGAATAGGATGCCTTTTGTAAAGGAAAAACACCTACCTGTATCTTTCTTAAAGAGAAAGCGTTGTGAGTGTCTCATGCTGGGAGGACGTTAACTTACTAGAATGCTTTTATAAAGTGATGGTGCGTTCATCACACCAGACGGTAAATGTAATTTGAATGCCTTTGTGGGTCATGTCAATAAAAATTGCATAGATATGATTTGTCCTTGAGTGAGTCTCCTTTATAGATCTGCACTAGCTAAGGTTAGTTAGCCGTGAAAATCAGGCGCAAGTCTCAGCTCAATAGGTAAGAAGCACTACCTAGAAAACAGGAAGAAGAGCCTTGAGCTTGAGCAAGGGCCCATGAGATACAGCATCCTAGTTCCCACTCTGGTCCACAGGAAGACCTGGAGACCTAGAAACAGAGCGAGTCAGAAGGGGCCTCCCGGGCCATCTAGTCTGACCCCCAGCTCCGCTCATGACATGCCCACCATGTGCACGTCCAGCCTGTCCTTGAACACCTGCACCGGTGGGGCCTCAACGACCTCTCGTGGAAGCCCATTCCACACCCTGGGGGTCCCGACTGTCAGGAAGTGCTTCCTGGCATCCAAATGGAACCTGGTTCCCTGAGCTTTGCTCCGTTGGAGCGCGTCCTTCTTCCTCTGCAGGGGAGAACAGGTCTCTCCCCACCTGGCCCTTCCTTGCTGTTTGACTCCCATGAATTCAGGGATGTACTGTCAGTGTTGACAAAAGCCTTATTCCTGGTGAATAGGACCTAAGAAGAGTGTTGCTAGGCCAGACTAAAAGCCCTGGGGGTCCAGCCTCTCTTTCCACCCACCAGAGGTCCTAAGGAAGCCCAGAAGTAGGACATGTCCCAGCATCCAGCAGTTGATCAAGGATACTGCTGCAAGATTGGCCACTCGGCCCTGATGTTTGGACCGCTTTGCACCTGCGTTTTAACAGCTACACCGGCTTCTAGTCTGAGCCCATTGAAGGGCTAATTTTGGTCAGGACCATCGTGGACAGAAGGTTCACTTGCAGGACCCACCAACAAAAAGACCCTGGATTTGTTCCTCTTCGGTCTTGCAGCCTGCTTGCTTTCCTGCCTCGCATTCTGGTCCAGAGCAAAGGGATGGGGAAAAGAAGGCGCAGCGGGTGGAACTGTTTCCTGGCTCTCTGCCTCCCAGGGAAGGAGTTGCTAGCGAGAATGAGGAAGAGATGGAAAAGAAACGGGAGCAGAAGGCAAAGGCAGTAAGAGTGCGGGACTGGGACTCAGGTGATCTGGGTTTGAGTCCCTGCTCAGCCATTTATTTATTTAGACAGCGTATATGCCGCCCCCTTTGCATAAGCCTCGGGGCGGCTTACAATCATTAAAACCCCACATATAAATACAATAAATACATAGAATACCATGGGACTCACAGGGGGATTTGGGCCAGCCATCGTCTCTCAGTCCAGCCCACCTCACAGGGTTGTTGTGGTGAAGATAAGACAGGGAGAGGGAGAGGAAGGAGGAGAATGATGCCAGCCACCTTAAAGGAAAAAGACAAGCTCTAAATATAATAAATAAATAAAAGTAAGGGAGTACCTTAAGAGTGTCTTTCTTTTCTAAGGGCCTTAAAAACCTAGAGCAGGTATTCCTTTCAGCCAGTAAACAAAAGCTCTGTATGGCTTGGGACCCGGTTTCTCCTAAATGTACCTACCTGAATCTTCAGTTTGTTTCCAGAATTTCTGCTCAAATTGCCCCCCCCCCATGAGGCATGTGCTAAGGAAAGGGCCTTTTTGGTGTTGGCACCCTGTTTACAGAACAGCTTTCTCAGAGAGCCTTGCCTGGCACCATCTTTGTGGTCTTTCCAGTGCCAGGTAAAGGCCTTTTCATCCACCCCTGCTGGTTTCTTTCTTTTATACTCAGTCTTCCAGTTTTAAAAATGCCCATTTTAATTGCATTGTTGCAACTGTTTTCATTGTTTGATGCTGTATTTTAATTCGTATTTGTGCCCTTGTGTTACCGGGCTGTTGTATAAAGTCAGTAACCACTCCTGGGCATACCTTTCATGAGTTTATCTAATCTCTTTTTAAAACCATCTCGGTGATTGGCTGCCATCTAATCTAGCAGTGCTGAATTCCATGTTTTAAATGATCTTTAAATCATTTGATCTTTGCTGAATGTTCTTTTCTGTAATCCGCCATCGGTGGTTCAAGGATAACAATCCAGGTCTAACTCTTAGGGCTGTTAGGATTACTGCAAAAGCATTAACATTTTCAAGGCCAACTCCATTTGCGTCTCAAAGATTTCCTAAAAACCCACGGGGCACTGAAGCTTTCCCTACTCTGGAGCCCTCCGGTTGGTCTACGAGGCAACGGGAGGTAAGGAAGGCCGGCATGGTGGCAGCATAAAGAAATCACCCTTTTGGCTCCTTCTGAAAGAGAAGCAGAGTTTGAAATCTGGTGCAAAATTGTTTCTCTGGCACTGGGAATGGAATCTAAAGTCTGCCATAAACTCACACCCTCAATTTCTCACACTGGTCCAGATTGAAAGTGCTGATGATGACATATAAATCCCCACATGGCTTAAGACTCGGGTATCCAAAGGAACATCTCCTTCCATAGGAGCATGCCCAAACCTTAACGTCACTGTGGGGGTCCTTCTTCAAGAGTCCTCCTTGAAAGATGTGAGGGGGGCCATTACGAGGAGAAGGGCCTTACCTGCTGCAGCACCCCAATTATGGAATTCCCTCTCCGGAGAGGTTTGCCTGGCACAGATACGCTATTTGTTATTGTCTTAATTTATTGTGTATTTTATTCTATGTTGTGAGCCGCCCCGAGGCTTCAGCAAGGGGCGGCATAGAAATGTTTTAATAAATAAATAAATAAATAAATAAATAAAATATTCATTCTGGTCAAAACCTTTTTATTTGCCAAGTTTTTGTAATTGATAGGTAGCATTTTAACTATTGCATTTTCATATCAAATACCGGCACTGTAGGATTTTTAATTGCATAGTTGTTTTTAACTGTATGTTGTTTTGAACTTCTGTAAACCATCTTGAGGCTCTTTTGAATAATTGACAGTATGTTTTATTTATTTTATTTATTTATTTGGAATTTTTGTATACCGTCCTATTTGCATGAGCCTCGGGACGGCTTCCAACACAATAAACAAACAGGTATATAAACCATACATATTAAAATCCGGATTCACCCTGGTATGTTGTGGTTGTTTAGTCACGAATTTGTGCCAGACCCATCGCGACCTCATGGACAACATTCCTCTGGGCTCTCCTGTCCTCCACCGTCCCCCGGAGTCCCCCTAAGCTCACACCCACTGCTTCAGTGACCCCATCCAGCCACCTCATCCTCTGCCACCCCCTCCTTCTTTTGCCATCTATTGTTCCCAGCATTAGGCTCTTCTCCAGGGAGTCCTTCCTTCTCATTAGGTGGCCAAAGAATTTGAGCTTCATCTTCAGTCCCTGGCCTTCTAAAGAGCAGCCAGGGTTGATCTCCTCTAGGACTGACCGGTTTGATCGCCTTGCGGTCCAAGGGACTCGCAGGAGTCTCTGCCAGCACCACAGTTCAAAGGCCTCAATCCTTCAGCGCTCAGCCTTCCTTATGGTCCAGCTTTCACAGCCATACATTGCAACTGGGAAAACAGTTGCTCTTTGTTGTTGTTGTTAGTCTTGAAGTCATGTCCGACCCTTCGCGACCCCATGAACAACACTGCTCCAGGCCCTCCTGTCCTCACCATCCCCCGGAGTCCACCCAAGCCCACTCCCACCACCCCAGTGACCCCATCCAGCCACCTCATCCTCTGCCGTCCTCCCTCCTTCTTTCGCCATCTATTGTTCCCAGCATCAGACTCTTCTCCAGGGAGTCCTTCCTTCTCATTAGGTGGCCAAAGTCTTTGAGCTTCATCTTCAGTCCCTGGCCTTCTAAAGAGCAGCCAGGGTTGATCTCCTCTAGGACTGACCGGTTGGATCGCCTTGCGGTCCAAGGGACTCGCAGGGGTCTCCGCCAGCACCACAATTCATACACAAGTCATCCATCACGGCGATTCCAGCTTTTGCAGTGCTCGTGGGCAGGGTGGCCTCACCTCTCCCAGGCTGACCCTGCAGCTGCCCCAGAATGATCATGCATATCCACTGAGGGTGACCAAATGCCCTGCTTTGCATTGACAGTTCTCTATTTGAAGCAGGCATTCAGTTTAAGGTGAAAAGTCTGTAAGAAGGGAAAATTAGAGGTCATGGGCTTAAAGTGACTGTCCAGAGTCAACATCTGGACAGATGTGCAGGCAGTGCCTACAGTCCTTCCCACTGGGGTGAAATAATGTGTCTTTCTCTTTTAGCTATCGTTATGATGGCTAATTTTGACCCTGTGCAGATAAATTGTTTGCGCCTGTTTTGAAAACTTCTATAATCTTTTGTCCTCTTTGGGGTGATACATTTCCCATTTGAGGATGCTTAAGCCCGCTGCCTATTTGGCGTTTGGTTTCCAGACCAAATCCTTTATATTCTGTCATAGCCAGCTGAGTCCTCCAAGGGCCTAGAGCAAAATATTTCCTCTCACCATCTGGAATTAATGCAAGGAACTCCCTGCCACAAGATGGGTGAGAAAGCTACTGGTAACCAGAAAATGAGGGAGGCATTACTCTTCTGAGCTACAGGTGCTGGGGATGCATAGCAAGCCCAGGTTGGTACCCTCACCCTTCGCTCCTGCCTTCCCAGGATAGTCTGCTGTCCACCACTGGAGGCAGGAGACTGGGCTGAACAGACACACGGTTTGATCTGGCAGGACTGCCCCCTGGTTTGCACCTTCTTTACCAATGCATACCCCCCCCCTTCTCACCCTGATGCTTTCCAGATAGGGTGGACGACATCTCCCATCAGCCCCAGCCGGCTCAGCCAGTGGGGAGCATGGGGGTTGCAGCCCAAAGCATCTGGACGCTCCCAGGTTGGGGAAGGCAGGGCAGGGCGCTGTGCGGCGCTGAAAGGCGCTATGGAACCTGATCCTTGACGAGAGCGCTGTCCCGGCAGCCCAGATCCCGTGCCTCAAGTACAATGGCATCCTTGGTTTATGATCCGGGAAAAAAAAATGCAGCCGCTCCGATGGGTCTCCCCTTTCTAGAAGCCTTATTGTGTTGATCCCACAATGCCCCTATTAACCTCAGAGTGTGGGTCTGATCTTCTTGGTGTTTCCCACACTTTCTGGCCCATTGATGTCATTCAGCGGGAGGACAAAGGACGTGTGCTGAGCTACAGCCCCCGTCAGAGCCGCCAGAGGCTCCCCTTTGTGGCGACCAGCAATCCCTGTCCCGATTGACCATCTGGAGCGTTTCGCGTTCCCAGGAACCACATGGATCGATCAGCATTATCCCGGAGCCCTTTCAAAGCTCTGGGAACGTTACGCTCTCTGACACCGACTCACAGCCACGGGGAGCTTTCCCAGAGCCATTGAAGCCCTCTTAAAAATCTTTGAAACGGATGCGCTCGAAGGGTGGTGCCGGGGGACAGATTTGAGATTCTCGGGAACGCGGAAGGGAGTCCCGGATCAAATCCAGCCGGAGCTTTGCTTAGAAGTGAAAATGGCACCGCTGAGTGGTCCTAATTTGAACACATCGTGAGAAGCCCTGGAGGAGACACTTGTGCTAGGGAGAGTGGGAGGAAGAAGAAGGAAAGCAAGATCAAATTGGAGAGGGGCTGATTGGCTCAGGGAAGCCCCAGCCTTGACCCGACCAGAGCTCTGCAGGGCTGTCCGGGACTGGGCCTTTCGGAGGGTCACCCGAAGTCGGAGACGGCTTCAAGAGCACACGGCAAATGAGCTGCTCAATTTATGACTGCAGCATTCTTTTAGCGCCAGGAGATGGTAGAGGCCCTGCGGATTTCCTGCCTCAGCCTGCAAAAACAGCTGCCTGGGTGGGGGAGTACTTGGACCGCGAGAGAAGGGACACAGCTGGCCCTGCGTCAGCCAGCAAAATATCTCAGGCTGGATGCACAAGCAGGGACCTTCTGCAAGGAGCAGAAGGCTAACTGAACGGATTTTGTCTGGGGAGGCCGTTGAGATCACAGAGAGAGCGGGACGAGGAATAACCTGGACCCGTTATGCTGCTATCTTTGAGTAGGGGTAGGAAAACGTCCTGCCTGAAACCCTGAACCAGGCAAGGACCTGCCCACACAACATTAATCAACTCATGCTTTAGTTGATTAAGCTAAGAGGCAGTATGGCGTAATGGGTAGAGTGCTGGACTGGGACCCAGAAGATCCAGGTTCTGGCCCCACTCAGCCATGAGGCTCCCTCTCAGACTGTCCTGCCTCACTGGGTTGTTGTTGTGAGGATAAAATGGAGAGGACAACCGTGTAAGAGGAGACAAGTTGAGATGAAAATGCGATGACGTTGTCACCTACTGATTAAAACTTCTGAAAGCAGGTGCCAGGGATCTTCTAACCCTTCAGTCCTGGGAGATTCTCTTTCTCACTTTTGAACAATCCCTATTTTCTGGAACAGTGAAAGTTGTTCACAAACCAACAAATGAGGAAAGCTAGTCTTTCCGAGAAAGCAGCAGCAGGCTGCCTTTTCGGAATACCTCGGTTACGAGGGTCTCCTGCATATAGAGATGGTGGTGGTGGTGGTGGTGAGGAGGAGGAAGATGAGGAGGAGGAGGAGGGGCTTCCCAGTCAAAGAGTGAGGACTTGAACCCTGGGATCTCTTCTGGGAGGGATGAAGCGGCTCTGAATTAAAATGGATCGGCCGGTAAGGGGACATTGTCTGCGTGGGTGGGAGAGTCTTGCAAACCACAAAGGGTGGGGGGGGCAGCCAGCTTGCTGTTTGGGCCGGGCTGCCTGGTTCTCCATTCACCTCAAATGGTGCGAGCCCACAATTCTCTGTTTCCCACACATCGCCCCATTCACGGTGCCAAACAGCGACAAAAGGCGTGTGCCTGATTGGAGAGTCGGTACCTCCTGCACCATCTGGGCCGGCACTCTGCCAGGTTTACGGCGGGGGGGGGGGGGGCGGGGGGGGAGCAGCGGGGAGGGAAGGCTTTGCAGGAGTGGCATGCAGCCAGCACAGAATCCATCCTACTTCTCCCAAATTGTACAGCCCATTGACATTTCTCCCTTTCCCCCCACACTCCCCTGCCTCGTTCCACGGCCCAGCTTGTTCTGCAGAGGCCGGAGCAGAATTGGTGCCTTAAATATAGCAGAGGATTTACTGCTTTGCACATTTCTGCTGGAGCTCACATGTGCAAGATTGGGCACTACACCGGACTCTTCGTCATTGGCCCTGAAGCTGAAATGCACCTATAGTGCAGGCTTCTTCATCTGCACAGATCCCTTTTCTCAGAAAGCTCAGCCTTTCCTTTGCTTGGTGGCAAGGTCCGACTACTTCTGCAAGGGAAGATCTGAGGGTGCGATCCAAGGCTGCAAGGTTCTGAGTTATACAGAACTCCGTATCTGGCGGAAAACAATATTGGCAATAAACTCACTTATTCCAGGACCACCAGGAAGTTGTTCCCATAAGTCCCATCATTATATTTCCTTTAAAACCAGCCTACCGACAGTTGTGTGAAAACAAGGCATCCAGATTGGTAGAACCCTCTCACTGCACGGCATTAAATGCATGCTCTTTTGGTGTTGTTCTGCGCTAGCTGCAGAAAAATCCAAATGGAATGCTGCAGTCCAAAGCTGAAATTTCTCAGGAACATCTTTTCCTTTTATGAAACATCATCATCATCATCATCATCATCATCATCATCATCATCATTATTGCTGGCAACTGTTACCCCCCAACCCCTACCCCAAGAATGATGGAAAGCCCATGGCATTGTGGACAATGATAATGTTGGCCAGACCGACAACACAATCCTGCCACTATCGTGCCCAAAACCTGATACACACACATGCACACAACCTCAGGGAAGAAGAAAAAGTTGCACGAATGTCATTGCTCAGGGTGAGTTTCACCCCTAAAGAAATTTTGCAAAATGGTCCTTTCAGTTTCTCCGCCTGTACACGAGGGGGAGGGTTGTGAGACGCCATTTCCTTCTGGCTCTGGTCTGCACTAAAGCATCCCCTCACAGTTTATAAAACAGCCAGAAAAGTGATTCAAGTGTAGAAATACAACAGGCCTGGAATCCGCATTAATGCATTTCAGGGGAGACTGATAGTATCGCATGTCAGGTCTCTTATCTTTCCTCAATGAAGTAATTCTTGCTCGCATGGTTTTTAATGATGCTCAGCACACAGTGCTAGGGGCTGCACTGAATGCTGCAGCAAGAGAGCTGTTACGCAGTCGCAGAAATGTGGAACGGCCCCACACCTCCCACCAGTCCCTTTGGCCCTGCAGCGACAACCCCCAACCTTCTTCTCTGAACTTCTCTTTCTGCACAAAAAAGGGGGATTTAAAAAGTACACTTTCGTGCTCTCAAAGCACTTGTCGGGCTGGGGTTTGCGGAGGGGAGGAGGAGATTCCAGTCTGCATTTTCAGATGCACCAACTTCTAACATTTCCCACACCCCTGGAAGCGAAACATATGCTTTTCTTTCTAAAATTCAGTGGCCATCCTCTGGAAATTTGACCTGCACTGTATTCAGTTAACCACACTTGCCTGCCAATTAAAAAGGTCTTCATCTAAGCCTTGCTTCTCCACACTCTTCAAAAGAGTGCTTTGGACACAGGCAAGCTGAGAAAGGGAGCGGGGGGGGGGGGGGGCACCACAAAAAAAACCCTCTCCCTCTCCCCCTCTCTCTCTCCCTCTCTCTCTCTCCCCCACACACACACACACACACACACACACACACACACACACACGCACACACACACACACACACACACACACACAGTGCTTTCCTAAGCCTGACACTGACACTTCCCTGACACTTCCCTTTGCCAGCGCCTTGGAAAAGGGCAACATATTGAGATGTTGACGCTCCCAGCGTCAGGCCCCCAACTTGGCCAATAATGGATGCTGGTCATTTCCCACATTTCTGCCCCATCCTTCTTGATCCTGGCATTGTGGACCACACTCCCCAGCCCACCTGCTCCTTGGGGAACGGGGTATTATCCCAAGGCAATTCACAGTCAATTTACCAGGCTGTAATAGATGTCTCTCCTATTGTTGGGCCGAGATGCCCCGATTGGCCAGGGAGTGTGGGAAACCAGAGGACGCTTGGGCCCCATGTGTTTTGTATGTGGCTCCCGGGTATAAATAGAGGCCTGCGGCTTCGCTTCCACACCGCTCATTTGCAGCCGAGCGCTTCTCTCTGCGTGCTGCCGCAACATGGCACCAGCTGGCAGCCACACGCTCTTGCTGGAAGTCCCGGCGGGAGAAGAGAAAGGCAGAGTAAGTATCCCTTGGCTTACCCATCTCCATGCACAGGGAGAGGAGGGTGCAGAAGGGAAGGGGGAACGGGCCTCCCTAACTTTCTCTCGTCTTTTATTCTTGTTTTTAGAAACCCATGGCGGAGAAGTTGCAGAAGCCCAAGGTGGAGAAGCTACACCGGGACCGGATTAACAGCAGCATCGAGCAGCTGAAAGTCCTGCTGGCAAAGGAATTCCAGAGGCATCAGCCCCACTTCAAGCTGGAGAAAGCGGAAGTTCTGGAGACGACTGTCAGCTACCTGAAATGCAGCCCAAGTGAGTCCTGGTCTGACTCTTATTCAATACCTGTTTCCCTGGCACCCGCCCCTCCTCCCCACACCCCACCTGAGAATTGCAGTGTGCCCAGGGTACCTGTAACTTCTGATCTACTGGGGGTCTCCAACGCCATGCAAAGAAAGCCAGTGCCCAAATTTCCCTGGAGAGGAGGGCTGGCTATTAATCCAGGTTTGACATGTCATTATGCTATTTAATGTCTGCTGTATGTTACCCTGGGCCCAAACTCTGCTTTCACTAGTCTCTTCTCTAAATCCTCTCTCTCTTTTTTCTCAGCATCCGCTCCTCCTTCCACCGGCATAAACCAGGATTACAGCAAAGGTTATTCCTCCTGCTTGAACGAAGTGCTGCACTTCCTGGCCGTCCACACTGCAAACTCTGAAACCCAGCTCAAGCTCTTAGGCCACTTCCAGAAGCCTCGGACGGGGACCCCCAAGGGACCGACTTCCTGCGCCCCTGTTCTGCTCCAGAAGGGGCCCTTGCGGAAGATGACGCCGAAGCTAACCAGCAGCCCTTGGAGGCCTTGGTAGGAGAGGAAGGACATGTGTGAGGCACCCCAAGGAGCTGGTGGTGTGTTGTACACACCTCCCTCTCTCCTTTAACAAGTAGGAAAGCCCATGCTCCACTCTAATGTGTTGCGACACTCGGCCAATGGATGTTTTCATTCGGAAAGATTGTGTGCTCCCGCCCTGGGGAGAGAACCATTCTAAAAGAATGGACAGGAGTTATCCTTGTATTAGGGAACCTTATATAGCAGTTCCAAGTGGAACGACAACTCATTTTTAACATTGGTGAGGTTTTCCTATTATGTGGGAAATAGGGGAAAGGGATTCTGCATAGGGCAGAGGGTGGGGAGGGGTGGTCCATCTAACTGCTTGGTTGTTTGCGATGAAGTAACTTCTAAGAAGTTGGGGGGCTGATTTTTATTTTCCTCAGAAGGGTCCAGAGCAGAATAATGATTTTGTCCAATCTACTCCCCACCCAATTCTGGAAGCTGGGGGTCACTTTTCCATAATGAACACTCAGAATTGTAATAGAAGTACCAGATTTGAACACTCAGACACCTCACTAATTACACTTCCCATATTCTTTAGGCATAATGATACTGGTTAATTTCTGGAAAAGGCAAAAGACAGTCTGGAAATAGTCTGGAAACCGCGGTTTTTTCCTTGTGCCCTCAAAGACAGGAGGAGACCTTTTGAAAAATCCAAATGTTGCTGTAATATAGTACTATAATAGTTGTAAAATGTTTTAAGCGTGCTGAGAAAAGTGTTATAACTGTGATGGTAGTGGAAGATATTCTTCAATATTGGTTGACTCACAAAAGCAGAGCTTTTGTGTTCAGGATGTCGAATAAATGCTTTTTATAAAGGCAAGGCATGGCTGCGGATCCTCATAGGAAAGGCTGTAACAGCTTATAGTGCTGAAGGTTTTTTCGTGAACCGTTTAATGAAGTCTTTTGTGAAAGGCGAATTGTATAAATTGTATTTACTCTTTTTCTGGTACCATAACTAATATGGGCTATTAAAATTTAATTATTGTCCTTAAAGGATAAAGTTGTGCTGTGGTGTGAGATGCAGAGAATCTGTAATCCTTTGGATGCCGCGACAAGGTTTCTGAAACTTCTGCAGATTAATAACAAAGAAACAAATAAATAAAAGAACTGGCTTACATACATCATAATGCATTCAGTGATTTATTCAGGATTAGGTGGGGAATCTGAGAAAGTGTTCTCGGATAGCTTTGTTTCATGGCCTGATTCTATGTATGTTTACTCAGAGGAGAGTCTCATTGTGTTCAGTGGGACTTGCTCCCAGGTAAATTTATACAGGAGTGCAGCTTTCGCAAACTACCCAGAAGATGATTGAGGCAACGCACAAAAATCAGATATGGGAGGTCAATTCTGGCCACTAACAGGTGTACACAAGACAAAGTCCCGTCTTCTTTATTTTTCCATCACGTGCTCTAACTTTGGGCACTGTCCTGGCCTGATTAAAACAGGATTCACAGCTAAGCTCCTAAGAACGCAAGGACTGTGCTTAAAAGGAGCAAAGGCCAAGCCAGTTCTGCATTCTGTTCCCACCATGCCTAACCAGTGAAGTCCATCTTGGTCCTGGCTATACAAATAAGGGGACATTTCTCCTCCCACAGAAAACTGGCATGTCACGGATAGCCAAGTTTTCACCCTGAGATGCTAGCTTGCTTGGCATATCTCATCTTTGTGAAAGGAACACTATTTTCCCCAATCAAGCTTTGCCTGAGGTCTGAAACAGAACGTGGCTCACTCCACCATGATCCCCATTGAGCTCAATGGGACTGACCCCCAGCTGTCTCTCGGAATGCAGTCTAGTCCATTATCAGTGGGGATCTACCCACTGAAAGGCACAATGGGGCCAAATTTGCCTCCCCACATGTCTCGCCTCATGCCCCAGGGGATGCCGTATGAGGCGAGACTGAGGGAGCTGGTCTCTTCAGCCTGGAGGAGACTCCGAGGGGATCTGTTGGCAACATACAGGCATGTTAGGGGATGTCACACGGAGGTGGGTAGAGACCTGTTCTCCCCTGCAGAGGAAGGCAGGATGTGCTCCTACGGAGCAAAGCTCAGGGAGCCAAGGTTCCATTTGGATGCCAGGAAGCACTTCCTGACAGTCGGGACCCCGAGGGTGTGGAATGGGCTTCCCCGGGAGGTCATTGAGGCCCCATCGGTGAGGGTGTTCAAGGATAGGCTGACATCCACATGGGCATGTCGTGAGCGGAGCCGGCTGGAGCCAGGGGTCAGACTAGATGGCCCGGGAGACCCCTTCTGACTCGCTCTGTTTCTATGTTTAAGACCCTCTTCCTCACACTCCTAAACCTGACTGCTCTCAGCAGATGATTGCAAAACACCAGCGAGCTGGTATGGCTGGAAGAAATCCTTCCAGTAACCTGGCCCTAAACCAGTATTCCTGAATTCAGAGGTGAAGAACACTAATTCTGTTGACACGGGTGCCGATGTTGCAAAAGGACGGAGGGAGATGGATTGAGGAGCAACGCTTGAGTTTGTCCAGGTGGGCATAAGTGGGACTCTCCAGGCTGCATCCAACCATCCCCTGGTGGCCCAGGCTGGTGAGAAGCATCGCTGCAGGCTTCCCAGAGCAGCCGTTCCTGGGGCATCCTCAGGCATCCCTGCACCCCAAACCTTTGGTTTCTTGGCCCAAACCTCCGAAAGAGAGAGGCCTTCTGAGTCTGGAGCAAGGCCTTTCCATGTCAGAAGTGAATTCTGCAAGTTTATTTGGCTGTGGGGCCACTGCGCATCGGCAAAGCGCCTGCGTGACACGAAGGCTGTGAGCTCAGCCCCTGGCATCTTGTTGGGGTGAATGTTTTCTTGACAAAATAACAGCAACACAAATAAAAAGCAGCGATTGCACTAAGGGAATGGAGAGTCCAAAGTTGGCAGACTGTTTCGTGTGGCCTGGCAGCATCTCTGCAGCATCTCCAGAGGAGGAGCAGGTCCCACTGCAGGTTCCCGGCTCTTGCTAAGAGCCTAACTGGATGAATCGTGAAATGTGTGAAAGAGTTTGCACATCTGTGTTCTAAAACGCCAAGCTTGCAACATCCCTGACTATTGGTCGTGCTGGCTCAGGGATGAGGTTTGTGTGTCATCCGGGAGATGGGAAAGAGCTGGCCAAGGGAAATTTATTTATTTATTTGTTTATTTATTTAGAATGTTTGTATGCCGTCGCATCGCATAGCCTCGGGACGGCTTACATAAAACAAATAAACATAATACAAATAAAATCCAGATTCACCCTGGCTGCAAATTAAAACCTATAGATGATATTAAAAGTTATTAAAATATTGTTTAAATAAAAAGGTCTTAGCCTGGCGCCAAAAAACAAATAACTACGGCGCCAGGCGGACCTCTCTGGGGAGCGCATTCCACAGATGGGGCGCCACCGCAGAGAAGGCCCTCCTCCGGGTACTTTGCCTCCTAATGTCTTTCACGGAGGGTTCCCGGAGGAGGGCCTCTGCTGCCGATCCCAGGGGGCGGGAGGGCAAATAGGGAAGGAGGCGTTCCTTCAGGTATCCAGGTCCCAAGCCGTTAAGGGCTTTATAGGTGATAACCAGCACCTTGAATTGAGCCCGGACTTCGATGGGAAGCCAATGAAGCTGGTAGAGGACTGGGCTTATATGACAACAATGCCCAGTCCCCATCAGCAACCTGGCTGCTCTGTTTTGCACCATCTGAAGTATCTGGACTGTCTTCAGGGGCAGCCCCACGTAGAGCGCGTTACAGAAGTCCAACCAGGAAGTAACCAATGCGTGTTACTGTCGCTAGGCAATCTTCCTCCAGGTAGGGACGCAGTTGATGAATCAGCCGAAGCTGAAGGAAAGCGCTCCTCGCCACAGCAGTCATTTGAGCTTCCAAAGACAGCTCCGGGTCGAGGAGCACTCCCAAGCTGCGGACCCTGTCCTTTAGAGGGAGTGCAACTCCATCCAGGGCAAGGTCCAAGTCACCTACCCAGGAGCCCGATCCACCTACCAACAGGACCTCCGTCTTGTCTGGATTGAGCTTCAGTTTATTGGCCCTCATCCAGCCCATTACCTTGGCCAGGCACCGGTTCAGTACAGCCACTGCCTCACCTGGATTGGTGGAGAACGAGAGGTAGAGCTGGGTATCATCAGCGTACTGATGGTTCCACAGCCCACACCTCCTGATGACCTCTCCCAGCAGTTTCATGTAGATGTTGAATAGCAGGGGGGACA